CTTTTCGATGGGTCGTGAACATTTCGAAACTGTCGAAAATAGCGAGCGGCAGGAGTCCTTTATTGAAAGCTACTCGCTTTAGGAAACTGCCTACTAGGGAAGCGATTGGAGAAACCATAGCTACCTCAGGCTAGACTAATTACCGTAAGCCTTAATGAAAACAAAGGCTCGCTTCTGCTCATGGAGGGACATTTGGGGAATAACCTACCGTAAAATCCTGGAATTTTTTTTCGAACGGAAAATCTGCTAACATCCGTCTTTACAGAAACAGATCTGTCTACATAAAGGCATCTTTTACTTCCTTATTTTCTGCAAACACACAGAATTTTAGGTCTGCGAATCGGGAGGTCCAGGCGTGCGAAAATGTGCCAAACCGACAACAATCTCTTACTCTATTTTCCCACGAAATAAATCGAGCGATGATGACCCCTTCACTTGATCAAGACCTCCTAAACATTTCGTCCTTAGGTTGTGGAGGAAACCTGGTGTCTTTCTTATAAAGTTCGGTTTCTTCGTTTCGACAGGTAAGCTGTAGCGGATTTCAAACTGAACTTTCTCCGGTGAAAATCTAATTGCTAAACATCATGATATATCATGTAGGCCTAGGCTTCTTTTCTGCTCTAGTTCTACGAATGACCACATCACCTCGAAAAAGATCCAGTAGAATAGAAGATGATGAAATATAGCAGGCATACATTTGGAATTTGGTCAAAACTTGTTCTTGGCATTCCACTACTTTTAACAAATCGAGTGTAAAAACTCCGGGGTCTGGGTTTGGATAGTGCTTGACCACTGATAGTTCTGGCGGAAAAAAAAACCAAATTTGAAAAAGTGACGATGAGACTTGCTGGGAAGCCTTATAGCGGAACGTTCAGAAGAGCTAGTAGTAGCAGAGTAGAAAGTACATCACTTCTTGATTTTCCTCGGGGCTTCTATGGGAAAATATGGTTGGATTTAGTTGTTTGCATACATTTCGTCGCCTAGTCGGGGTCGCCCATTTTGCAGGCCTAAATTTGAAATCTCTGCAATGGAAGCAGAAAACAACACTGAAACACCCCTTCTTGAAGACTTGGCGAGTCTCTTACAAGTGATGTACGTGATGTAAAAACTTAGATTTGAAGGCTGAATTACGATGGAAAAACGAGAAATGGGACCCCTTCCTAGCCCGATGATTTTGGCATTGACGTGACTCCCATCGTTGTGCCCTCTCTACGCTCTCTCTGCTATCTTATCACTTGCTACGTAAAGGGGGATTAGATGGTCGGTGGGCGGACCACGCCAAGCGCGCGAACAATGAACCATGCAAATTCGCCGAGATCAAATCTTTTGGTGCCAATCGCGTGTCAGTCCGTACCCTCAGGAGGTTCGCCGGTCTCTCAACTAGGTGAATTACCTTCTTTGACCTTCATTCTAGGCGGTAATTCCTCCTTTGAGAAGAAAATTTTCCTTTGACAAAAAAATATGACACCACCTTGGGACAACATAATGCTTCCATCAGCGATGGCACAATACGCAACGTAAACTTTGTTGATCTCCGTCACGAGGAAAAATACTCCGTCTGCCCTCTTCCCAAGTATGTATTGTTTGAAGGCGGATTTTACAGCGAGAAGGCAGCCCATCGGAAATCAACATAAAAATGGTCAGTGGTGCACGAGAGGAGAAAAAATCGAAAAACGGCCTACAACCCTAGTGGTGAGAAGCCTTCCTCGCCCGTTGATTCGCATGATGCGACTCTCAGTGGTGCTGCCCTCTTCAGCGCTTACGCTCTCTCTCTCTCTGCTAAACGGCTAGAGACTCAGACACGAGACGACGCGAGGCGTAGCGCGAAGATAGCGCGCCAACCGCGCCGCGGAGAAGGCATGCTAGATTGCCAGGGCATATCATTCTCGAATTGCATGCCGCTCCGCACCCTTAGGTGGTTCGCCTGTCTCTCCACTAGGTAAGTTTCCCCTTCTTCACCTTCGTCCTCATCACGGAATCCTCCTTTAGGAACCACTCATCAACATGAAAAAGGAAATTGTTTGACATGACCGATCGTTCTTTGGTTGTTTGGTTTAGGACACACATCCAACTTAAGTATTTGACCGATAATGTTTGTTGTCGGGTACGAGGTTGTGCAGGTCAATGTTTTGCACTCTTCTATTATTGGAAATAGCTTCATTTTTCAGATTTTCATTTTCGTTCATTTCTAAGACACCTGTGGCAAAAATTATGATTGAGAAAGGTGAAGCAACTGAAACTCCAGGAAAGCAAGAGTACAAATCCTGGCTGGGGCGAAAGTTTTGTCCGCAACTCAGAATTTTTGGGATAACTTTCGCCACGTTGACTATGGCTCAGTTAACCGCTAAAATGAGGTTACATAAGATTCATATAAGAGGCGTTTTGTCCGAGTATTCGTTTATCCGCGAGCGAATGTATAGGATGAGTGGGACTTCAGTTTAATATGTGAGCTCGAGCTTCCGCTCCACCTTTGATAGATCAGAAAGAGAAATAGGAGATGTCGGCGATTTCACGTATTGTTTGACAGGGCATTATGGACGTTTAGTGTGAAATTAGAGATAGACCTCACCGGCAAGCAGGCTGTAATTTCAGTCATTCACTCGACAGCATAGATCAGCGGGAGGTCTAGAGGAATCGAATCTATTCTTTATCACTCGGACTACTGCATAGCGGCGGCTGCCCAAGCAGGGTCGGTTCTATCGTTGGGACTTTTTGTAAAAATTTTACGACCCCTTCCTTCACGAGACGTTTCATACGACCCCCTCTTCACAGCCAAAAACACCGGTCAAGCGGGGGGGGGGAGTAAAGGCACGCTGAAACGGCAAATTTTCTCGCGCGCGCTCTCACCTCACACATGTAATTTCGTGCAAGCGAAACAAGTACGACCCCCACCACCACAAACTCCAACAAACTGCGACCCCCGTTGGTACTTGTAGCAACGTAGGGTTGACCTTGTGCCCAAGGTTTTCGCCTTGACACGTGCTCAGTTAGACGATTATGCCACATTCCTGCTATTTTCGGATATCTCGTGTAAACCTGAAGACGGATCTTGTCGGCCATATCATGCTGTAGTTTATCTATTCTTTGGACTTTGCTCGAATCGAAGCTCATTAAAACTTCAATGATGAGGGTGCGACCGCATCACAGAATAAATGTTATGAAAATTTTGAAAAGTCGCAAAACCTGCAAAGTTAATTGAGAGTTCAATTATGGTCGTTGAAATCATCCCCTTCGCTAAGGTTGCAGTAACTCTGAAAGAAACATCATTCCTCATCTCGTTATTGTTAAGAACTTAGGGACGAGTTTGCTTGTCTCACAAACTGTTTTTCTCCTCACGAAAACTCGATAAGGAGATAAATTTGGGGCACTTCCAAAAATGCGCCTCCAATCGTCTGGCCAGACCCCTTTCGGACACAAATATCAGCTGCTGTGCGCGACCATAGCAGATTTTTGGAAACCTGAACCCGTTGTGAACTATGTGGAAGTCGAGATCGTATTGGCCCAACGAACTTGCTTCGCTTTGGTTGGATTCAATTTCACTATTCTCAACGGCTGTGCGGTGCCGAGCGTGAGATTTCCCCAGCAAAGTTTTAGTTCAAATAATTTTTATAATTATGGCGATGTTGCCATTTATAGACAAACCGACGATAGCAAATCGGCCTCAAGTTTAACGCTACCCTCCTACCAGTCCCATCCCTTTCTTGAGCATGAGAATCCTTCATCGAGTGCTTCCGGAGTTTTTTCTCAGAAACAGCTGAGGCATTCAAATTCAACCCCGTCGCTTCCTTGACGAATCCAGACCTTTTCTATTGCGCTATATGCAGAACTAGATAATCGTGGAAGCTGCCATTAAGCAGAGGACTGCTCTGGCCTCTTTTTGACGCTCGAATGGCGGACCTCGCCTTCAATTCTATGTGTTCAGTTTGCATGCTTGATTCTATGAGGAAAAAGTCATCAATGGAAAGAACTCAAGGAAATCAAATCATGTGTACCACGCTCAATTCTTTCTATTTCTGCCCTTTGGAGCGATATCCTGTACTTCAAACTACGGTAACGAATCTTTGCTTCAGGCCTAAACAACTCATCCATTGCATATCTACGATAGCGTTGTAATCAAAATTTAAAAAACTTTTCTTCCGAGGTGAGGATAGCCACCGGTGCGCTCCTGATGTTTCTGGGGCTTGAAAACGAGAAGCGCTTGCGCTATATTATATTTTACATATTAAAAAAGTCAGTAAGGATAATGGGTTCTTCAACCTACGACCCACGGAGGGCTCTCCATCTAGCGTCCTTGAAGGGCCGCCTTCCTCAATATGATCACACTTCAAGCCCTACCTGAGCTAAAGATTATGAACTGGAGATAAGGTGCTCAAGAAATTGTATGATCTGTTGTGCCTCACTCAAAACTGTTCTCTTGCTCTTCGCCGAGCCACCTCCCGATTCTCGTCAACCACTTTAAGGGGACTTCGTGTGACAGCCATGGCTCCGAGTTTTTCGAATATGCCATAAGACGGGCGAGCTATGCCTGCATTACACCGTTCACATAAGATAGCACAGCTATGTGCACGCGCTCTAGCGCCGTGCTCGTAAAATAAACGGCGAATCGCACCTTGTCTCGTTTGTGAGAGCAAATGGACAATCTTTCACGTCGGTCGACCACTACCTGTTTGGACCATATTTTGGGAATTCTTGAAAAACGCATAGAAAGCTCACATCGTTCATGGTGTACTATTACGTCCATGAAATTACTAGAACGTTCTACGAGGTATCGCTTTACTGGGAACAGGATATCTCCGGAGCGCCTCTAATCTAAAGCTCTCAAGGACTTCAGCACTTTAGAAGATGTTCAGCGGCAGTTATGAAGATCCCATAGGGATCTCCTTTTGCACAATTTTCCGAGGAATAGTGTTAGTTGATATTATTTCAGTTGTAGCTGAGTAGAATTTTTTTTAAAAATGAAAACATGAAAAGTAACCGATTCGAAAAATAATATAATTAGTTTACCTATTCGAGTATCCCAGCCATAGTGTAAGCGTATCTAACCAGTACGGTACTCGAAGACGTAAGCAGGATTTGAGCAACGCCAGTGAGAAAAATGGTAGCCAACAGAAGATGAACACGCTCATGATCACGCCCAACGTCTTGCGAGCTTTACATTCGCTACGATCACTTTGCCGAATCTAAAAAGTAAAATACTTTCTCAAAAAAGTGCTTAGAAGAACTTATATAAAGAATAAATGGCGTTGAACTTCAAGTGCCGTGGGATAATGCCTTTTTGGATCATGTTAATGCATGCACTTCTATTCCAAATCCGGAGCTCATGCTCTCACGGGAGAAGGGGCAGGGGGAGCATTTGAAGCAGACTACTCAGATTCAAAGTCGCTGCTAGATGGTACTAGGACTAAGCTCAGGAAGGGGAAAACGCCAGAAAAGGTTGCTAACGCCATCTCGCAGGATCCCTTCCCGTTCCTAAGGCTTAGCCCCAAGTTGTATAAGTGGTTGACCATTTCAATGTCCTTCCTGACAGCATGAGCCCCCAAAATCGTATTGGCATATTAGCGTAACTGACCCGAACAACATTGCGGAAGCCGGCTGACCACCGTCTCAGTAATTACTACTAACGTCCACTACTCTGCTACCTCAGCCCTCCTTCAGCAAGGCTTCAACTTTCCAATATTAGGACTGTATAATTCTGCCTAATACTATCGCTCAGCAGCTACTCGAAGATTTGTTCCCAAACGCATTAATCCAGCCCAGTTGAAATTAGGGATCCGAGGTAACGTGCATGCAAGGTTACTGTAGCAGTGTGGGTGATCACTGAAGCATGTACTGGACCTATGAATTCGATTCTTCATTGTTCTTCAGTGGTAATGAATTATCGAACGAATTTTGGGGCCTGTGACCTCACTCAAATAAAAAGCACTCCCTGGAGCATTTGAATGAATCTCTAAGAAGCCAAAACAAATTGATATCATTCTTCTTGTCGTCATTCTCGTAGAAGAAACAGGAAACAAAAATTCCAAGGATTGAGGAATACTAAAAAGCTGCTATGGGGCGCCGGCGACATATTTCATTTGATACTTCCTGAGCGTATTCTAAACTCTCAATCAGCAATAGGGGCTATCACGGACATTAATGGACGATTCTTATGCGAGACTGACTCGAGATGTTTCCAACAGATACGATTTTGCGGAATGCAATTCACCTTCTCTTTAATTTTTTCCATAGAAAAAATTGAGAAAAAAAGGTAAGAAGATCAGTGGTGAGTTCATTTTTCACCCCCTCGAACCCCTCGCAATTGGCTTTCAATGACATAAACCTCAGAAGTAGGCAGGCAGTGCACGTCGGCCAGGCTGAAATTGAGGTTGTTTGCTGACAAAGATATACGACCTAGAGTGGCCTATATCCCTTTTCCGCACGGCATAATCACAGCCAAAGCGAAAGCGGCAAGGCATGGGATATATTATAGACTTGGTTATGACCCAAAAACCCTTCAAACAGTCCACAAAGCAGAAACGCTCCATCAACATTTTTACTGGTATATTCAATGTTGTCACTTAGTGGACTGCGACGGGTGGCCCAACTCAAGGAGCAGCATATGTCACTGGTTTTTTGAGGCCATTTAAGTCAGACTATTTGCACGATCAATCTCCACAGCTTCCCAATTTATGGGTGCCAGCTAAGACCATGGATTTGTGGGAGAGTTTTCTAACATCGGGACTTACCGGCCAAACATTAGAAGAGGGGGGAGATTACAATGGGAGTTGTAGAAAAAATTCTCTATGACCACCATACGATGGACTTCACCGTCACCAATACCCATCATTGAATAATGTCAAGTGACAGCTAGGTAAAGCCCGATGACGATCATGAATCTATTCAGTAAATGCGCTTCAAATTGCCCGCAAAGCCGTATAAACTCCTCCTTTCACATAACTCATCCCTACCGGCTACGTTAACTTCATTGACGATGAATGCTCGTTTGTGCTATGCAAACGTGGCATCGTTATGACAGTGTGTGATAGATTTCAGAGTTCACAAAGGGGATGTGAATGATGAACTAGAAAAATAGGATCATCTTTTATCAAACTAGTAGCTGAAAAAGGAAGCGCTTGAGGTGATGCATATGGTTACTAGATGAAACGAAATGCTCTTAATTCGCGGTGGTCTAAACCAATTTCGGTCGTTTCCAAAGGCTCCGACGAAGGCGATAAGGCCGAGACCTTAGCCGAATAAAGGTCAATAATATCTTGGTTACGGCTCAACAAACGTCACTGAAAGTAATCTCACAATGCCAAGATTGACCGAGACTCGAATGTGGTCGCTCCCAATTCGGTTTAGGCTTCGGCTTAGGCTTAGGCTTGCACACCGGCTTATGCTTAAGCATATGATTGGGCCTAGGCTTAGTCCTAGGGTAGCTTCGAGCAAATGAGTGGTGTCTTGATTTTAAGTGACTTGGGCTGTGGAGGAGATTGGAAAAGCGCCCTCTTCCATCCGTCCTCTAAGTTTGATTCGACAGTCATCAAGTAAAACTTGGCACTACACTCGGACCCAACATGGCGCAGGTTATAACGTGTTAGGGGGAACCATAGCGGAAGCCAAAACCTCACAAGAGTAATATTGGTGTTTTGTTGGACATACGGTTGTAGCTCATAAGGTGAGAATGTCCATGAAATCCCTTTGTTTAGCCATACCCGAGGACCGAGTTTGGCAAGCGAATATATTCTTGGATGTTCGAGTTGTGTGCGTAGTTTTTCATGTGCGTTCACAGGAGAGGCTGCGCTTGGCTTTCTCGCGTTGAAATGCCCTCTTCATAAATTGCAGGGGAAGATTCGGTTGCTGATGGTTACGGATACGGAAACTATATTATAAATGCTCATTATTGTTCCTCAAGATTTCATTATGCGTCTTCGAAAGCGAAATCAATACGTGAAACCATTGAAAAGAATGCGTAGTTTCCAAAGAAATACGCTCATTTTATCGGAGCAAAATGTCGACGACTTATTGAAAGCACAAGTGGTAGCGTGCACTCAACCACATAATGATGATGGTGGCGGAAGGTTCGAAGAATAGAAAATTAAAAATGAAATCCATCCTGAAAATGAAACCCAAAAATGAATTATACCCTGGTTTTGAACCAAATTCCAAGCCGGAAGTACAGGTGGTACTGCTTTCTCACACATAAGTGGACCACCCTTCCCTTTTCATCACATTTTCACCTGCCCTCAAGTTGTCTTCGACTAGCCCACTCAGCTATTCTGTCGCTTGAATAAGGATCGAACGGCGGTGCCAAAAGAAAAACCAAAAGGTCACCAGTCCTCTACGCAGTTAGAGGTTAATCAGTGCACCAGGTGAAAGCATTTTTTGGTATATCGGAATATCGCATTCTAGGATTCCGTATTCATTTCCGTTGATGGATTCTCTGACGCAGTTTCTCATGTCAGCATCTGCGATAGGCATTTCAGTTTTCTATTCCCTCTCTGCCGCGGACTGACGTGCTTTGAATTTGGGATAGCCGGTTATTTTAATGGAGTGAAATTTGATCAGTGAGAAATTCGGGCCGAGCTGGAATTCTACCACTCCGGCCTGGGACGGCTGCTGCTTGCAAGATATGCGCCCGCAGAACAATCACGAGGTGTTGCACCTTTTCGATGAAGATTTCCCAGCCGATGAAAATGCAATAAATTGATTACGATATATCAAGCGTAATGTCCCAAGATGTTCCAATAAATAGTGCAGTGGACCTATTTTTGGCTTGGTTACCACTGAACGGCGGCACTTTCAAGGCAGCACAAGAAGGGTATATTGGATTCACGCTCCAAATTTGTTCCGAGTGCCAGAATAATGGACTCTCCTGAGAAACCCAGTAACCACTCAAAACGATAGTTTATACACGCAGCGGACAATTTACAATCGAAAACGCTAAACTTTAAGGTCGTTCCGTCAACGCTCGTCGCTACGTAATGCGACAGCCATTATGCAGATGAGCAACTGCAAGCATACTCCGGAGGGCGCCGGAAATAAACGGCGGCATCGACCGGAACAGATGACAGCGACAATGATGTGTGGCTCCTAGCTCCACAGGAACTCCTAGATGCTTCTCTGATCAACGTAGGCGTAAACACTATGCAAAGTGCTCATGTCCTTAGGGGAGGCATCAGAACAGGGCATTTACAAACCGCTTGAAGGTGACAATAGGATTAAGCTCGGGAGAAAGGAGAACGCCAGGCAGAACAAAGGTTACTCACGTCCTCACTCAGGATGTCCTGCCCTCCCTAGGGCTCAGTTCCTAGTTCTGTAAGAGGAATGGCACGCGTACTTCAATGCTCCCTCCCACCCCCTAACGACATGAGGGCCCTAGGCAGTACGCCATCCATACAAGACAAAGTCACTGATGCTAGCTCTGTACAGGAGAAACCGTAGCCGTGCACTTTCTTGCGCGGAACACTTACCAGAGGTTCTCACCTACTCATTACCTGCCGAAACAGGTCTACAAAAACGTAATTGAATGGAAATTAAAGGTTGGAGGCATACCAGTGGCATTTTGACCGCATGAAAGAGTGCACTTGGTCGATGCAGGTAACCGCGATGCTCACTCTTCACGATTTTCAACGATTTTTGTGATTCCGGAATAAGATCGACATGATCATTGCAGTTCTTGTCGAGACCGACGGGAATGTGCGTCGTCTGATCGTGATCTTTTCGTGCAATTCGTTTGGCTGCACGCCAAATCTGCACGTACAATATGAGCATGATGATCGTCGGACCATAGAAGGAAATGATCGTTGCATATATCTGATAGGCAAAATGCTGGATTACCTGGAATAGAGAAGAAAAGTTTTTGGAAATATATTATTCAAACCCGGTAATTTTTACTACCTAAACGTATCTACCAAGAAATTTTTCATCATCCTTTGGAGTGCACTACCGTGCCACACCACGTGAGCCCTCTGATTTACTGCCTTTTATCTCCGTTCTAACTATCTGGTGCTCATTTACCCTTCTACCTTTTCAGCAGTATAAAAAATCTGTTAGGGTGGCTACCCATTGCAAACGTTCTTAATGTTCTGCTCATCCGGAATCTCACTAGGATCTAAACTTTGCATAGCGCGAAAAGGCCTAGAACTATTACTGCGAAAAACTTTCTTTGCGGCGGGGCTCACGCATGGATAGGCTTATAGGCCTGGGCCATAGCTAAAACAGTAGCTAAGGCCTAGGTCTATTGGATGTATTACTCAGCGAAGAGTAGCAGAAAGTTCAATATTTTGGTAATGTCTTGAGTTTTTCTCTAGAAATAGTCTGGTATAAACTTTCGGGTGTCTCATTGTGTAATACAACATTCAGATGTCGAGATGGCATCGAAAAAACTGAATGGCATCTGAGGTGTCGTCTAAAATTATCACTTTTTTCCCATTTTGCATTTATGAATACAGAAAGTTTAGCAAGACTGATATACCGTATAAAGAAATACGATTCAATGGGAGACTAGCAATCGTTTTCAAAGCCTTCCGTGACACCGCTGAAGTGGCGGAGGCGTCTTCTCGCCACGTAAAACAACGATCTCACGCACTTGTAGTCCCAACACTTCCCGCTGACTAGAAGACGCATATGGACACAGACCAGGGGAAATTTGAATGAACCCTAAGCTTCTCAAAATGTATATGTGACAAACGAAAAATTAGTTGTTCTTATAGGTTGATGACGGAAAACAACTCCGCACCCACTTTCCTCTCGTCCTCATCCCATTGTCGTTTATGTGGCATGCAAGAACAAATGACGCGCTCATGATTTGTCTTTTGATCTCTTGAGAACTTAGTTCTTATATGGATGAAAAAATGAATGAGGCGATATTTTTGCTGTCTATATGCTTCTGCTCAAAAAAGCCCATTCCTCGCGTTGTACACAAACAGTTGACCGTAAAGAATGATAAGAGATAGAAAAAAGTCAAATTAAGCTCGGGCTAAGCTTTCCGCTTTTTAGGATAGTCAATAGATTATGCCCTTGCTCTTGCCTTCTGTAGAAATCGTAGCTATATTTTCTAGGGAGAATCAATGAAGATGATTAGCTTGACCAAGAGTTTTTAATTGTTCAGTTTTGCTGCATACACAAATAGCGAAAGATGTAATATGTCCTTCTGTATGCACATTTTGGGCTGAGGGGGCGAGCTGAATGCGAATGACTAGCAATCAACATCGATCGTGTCATCTCGGCATAAAGTACGTTTCGTCTTTGTCTGTGCTTCATATGGAACATTTAATCACTCAATGGATCAATAATGAAGAATTTACCAAAAAATTCTATAAAGCCGGCTTCTACTACCCTATAAGCCCCAGCAGCCGAGCTGCTCGGTTTCTTCCGATTGAGGATCATTATAGAACTGTATTTGTGGATATCTGCGACATGGACAACAGTAGAACCGGCAGTCTGGGCGGAATGCAAACGTCAAGTGCAAAGCGTAGGGGGATGAAAGAAAAGAATGAAGTCAAGAGATAGATAAGCATGCATGAGAGCCACAAAGGTGCAAGTTAGGACGTCTACGCAACTACCTGGCTCTCTGCAAGTCTCCATTCTATTCACCTTCAATGAACCACTCACTATTGGGACTACATGAAAACAATGATCGAAAGAAAGCTTAATGCAAACGCGAATGCACTGGCAAAAGTACGTGTACCAGTAAAATATCATCGAAACCCTACGTACCAACAACGGAATTGAATCAGGAAAAATTGTTCAAACTTGGAAAATTTGCGAAAGGTTACCTCACAAATTCGATCTTCAGACTTTTCAGTGTCAAGAAGATTCGCGATAATGTGAGACGACAGGCTAACAATAGCGGCGATTATCCATACTACCGCGATATAGATGAGCATACGAGCAGTCGTTCTTACGGCTGAGTAACGTAGTGGGCGAGTTATAACCAAATAACGATCAACAGATATCGCGCAGAGACTCATGATCGACGCTGTGCACAACGTTAGGTCGGCTGTCGTCCACAATTTGCACATCGACCTGAAACTTGCCATCACCACCAATAAAAAGTTCTAGGAAAACATCCATCCTCAAACATCAAATGCACTGGCACTTTCGTTTTTTGAAAGCCTTCGTAGAGTTCTCAGTTGGTTTTTTCATAGCGGACAAACATCAGACATTCTCACTAGGGAACACTATGGAGGGTGCAAAATCACTTGTGGTAATACCCGCCACACTGGCTCAGCCTTGCGTTGAATAACTGCCCAAAAAAAGCGTCTCTAGTGAATGGGCCTCGTACTTGAAGGAAAGAGAGAGGCTGAATAGCCACTGGATAAAGAACTGCACAAAAGCTATAAAGTCATTAAGAAACGCCTAAAAAGTAGGCAAGGTATCTGATGAATCATTCGTTTGGTCAACTGGAGCTTCTACAGTGTCCAGACTGTGCCAAACGAATAGATCGAGATCGGAATGATTTGTTTTGCTAGATAATGAAGAACTTATTTTAGGAAAACGCAATACGAACCTTCCCAAAGGCCATTCGGAGAAGAGCAAGTCTACAAACGCCAACGGCATTACCAGTAGGCCAACAAAAAAGTCGGCAATCGCCAATGAAACAATCAGAAAGTTCGCAGGTTGTTTGAGTTTTCGTACCAGAACGACGGCCAGGCAGACGAGCGCGTTACCAACGATCGTCACAACGATCATGACTAGCACCGCCACAGCGAGCAACGTTTTCAGAAGCAGTGACGATGGATACGTCGATGTATGTGCGGTAGATGACGACGGTGGATCGTCATCATGGGGCCATGGATCGTGTGTTAGTGGTAAGATGGTGTAGGAGAGCGGTGGCAACGCGCGCTCCATCACCACTGCTGCTCCAACATGGGCGGGTCCTACGGTATCGCTGCCCGAAATTGCCCACCCGCCCACTTCCGTCTCCGTGGTGCCTGGAAAAAATGCTGCGAGTGCTCTCGAGTGGTTTATATGGCCATCACATATGCGATATACTATCACTCGATCTTGAACTCCTTCCCACTACTACCAATCAACCAGACTATTTACTATGACACTTCTGATTTCTTAACGATTAGCTCTGTTTATTTGAAGGCTGGTTAACGACATTGCGGTGAGGAGTAAAGGGCAACGTATTCCAATTACGCGTCTTTGTGGGGATAACGCACAAAAACCCCTACCTATAGCCTTCTACAATAGCTACGGGAGATCCGAGCCACATCAGATGTCTCAGCATTCGTCTTAGAGGCAAGGAGGCGTTGTTCTAGGACCCGTTCAACCTTCAATACGGTATTAAAAATCTATGAAATTCTGAGGTCCCGAAGATCTCTTTGTTGTTGTCTGTTAGCTTTACAGTTTTCAGTACAGTTCCTTTTTTCTGTAAGGCAGTGTTTATATAACGAATCTAATGACCTAAGACAAACTAGCATTTGAGAAGTAGTACACACATTCACAGCCAGTCGTTGACTTGAGCACGACCGCGACAATAAAGAATATGTGGAAGAGGGCGAGTTCTCAATTACTTCTGCTCAATCCATTAGGGTTGATGACATTTTTTGAAACACCACACAACCTAATTTTGTAGTTGGCTTTATTTTTTATTCTTCATTTCTTCAACGCTCCTTAACATATTGATCATTAGATGACCATTTTATGTGTAGTACCTTCAACTGAGTGAAGAATTTAAAAAATTAATTTCAAATTAGGGCAGTGGGATCACAAAAATTTATCCCCATCAATCTATTTCCTTCATTTGGTGGTAAACTCGCGGCATCTTCTTTGTGCGCCTGCAGTTCTCCCACGGCAAGGATCTCATGTACTGAGTAAAGGTTTACGGTATCACACAATCCACTACTACATGTTTGAAAAGTATTGATCAAGGCATCTATACCCCATACTCGAGCGGGAAGATCTTGTTTGCGATTTTGGGAGCGAGAGGGGTTGTATCTGCGGTTGACTAAGGGCAAAAAGGGCGAAGGATGGAGGGGGTAAGTTGTACTAGTAAAAGTAGAAGCGGGTCAAACTTTTGAAAATGACCGACACTTTACCCCGATCAAGGCTAGGAAAGGGGTCGAGTGCTATGACGCAGAGCTCGAATTTATACTTCATGCTTCTCCCAAATTTCGCTCAAGAAAAGGCACAACGAGCCTAATATCTTTCGACTTTAGCCGCTCTCAAGTGGCTCGTGAATACGCTGCTGCCCAACAGCACTACGCGAACCAACTGCGACTCGTAAGAGCATTAAAACCTTTCTAAAGCTTTCTCAAACCTCATATTTAACCCTAGTTTGTAAAACCACAAGGTATAATAATGACTGATGAAAACTGTGCCCTAGCCGGTATAGTACATGGCACTAACCACACCATGCAATTCCATATATACATTCACATACTGGAAAAACGACTCTATTGCGCATTCTCCGGTTTCAATTTGAGTTTGTGGTCGCATGCTATGCCATGACTGCCTCGTCTACTTTTATTATGAGTGGCAGTAAAATATAGAAATTTGGACGACACAATTTCAAATTCGATTTCAAATAAATTTATTTTCAATTGATACTCTAAACGTTCACTTGACAAACAACCGTACACTACGCTATTGGGAACAAAAATCTTGGAATTCATTGAATCTCAGTATAAACTACCTCTAAATTGTCAGTAATGTACAGAGCGAATTCTATGAACTAGAAGAGTGAGCATGAATGGATTTTGCCTAACCGTACGTTGCAGGGCAGTCTCGGGCAATCACCGAGATAGGCCTAATGCGACGGTCTAAATGACTAATAGGTAGATCTGATTGAAGACACAGCTGCATGCGCGACAAGAAGCTGGGCGAGTAGTCGTGCCTCCAAATATGCACGAGCATCGCTAAGCCAGTCGCGGATCGCCAACGCTGTTTCGCCGCGCAACAGCTGCGACACGCGAATCGCACCTTCGAGATCGTCACGGTCTACGTACCACTTTGCACGTGCCAGCACCTGAAGCGGAGAACTGACAATTCGAAAAGATTGGCACGGGCCATTGAAGCAGAAGCCAAAAGCGGTGAGCGTTAACAGATTTTGACTTCATTCATAAATAAATAAAAAAAAACTGGCCAGAATTTCTAGGCTGTAAATACCAAAATGCTTTGAAACTGTAAAATTGTAGCCATAATCTGTACTTAAACCAACCGACGGCTCAGGAATAAATAAAACAGCCCACCTCACCTCACGACATCAGGCTGTTCAAACAATCCGAACAGCACATTTAGAAAGTAAATGTAAATAAATACTTGAAGCCAAAGCCCTCATGCAAACGCTGCCGACGAGCTTGCAAAAGCGACGAACCATCACGTGTACTCCGATGACATACCTCAAGATTATCCACAGTGCTCGGATCGATCATGTCATCATCGCTGAACTTTCGCGGTAAATCGAACATCAGCAACGACCTCATGTACGACCAGATGTAGCTGGTAAGCGTGCCACCATTATCATCAATTGTCGCTGTTCTTCGGCCCAATTTATAAATCTGAAAATAAGATCCAATGTAGACCCTTGCGTAACACATACATCACAAGATCAAAAGCGCTCAGTAATAATAGCGACAGCTGCTTAATGGCCGTTAGTCATTTCACAATCGTTGAATAAACGCCCATACATCATCACACTAATATTCCTAACGGGCATCATACAACAAAATGGCGTTGGAAAATATTTGTAGCTTTCTGGTGGGGTCCAGCTCGCCCTCCTCGGGAGATTTAAGCAGCAGTTTGGGCAAAAAAGTAACGAAGAGTTCGAGCTTCAAAGCAACATTAATAGATCAACTTGGTGGGGTAACGGCTGTCGATAACTAGCTTATGCCAAGTTGAGCGTTGAGAAAAGAAGCGAAGCAAACCAAGGATGGAGTCCTCGAACAAAGACACCTCTCTTCCCCCTTGTGGAGGGGGGGGGGCGTCAGACGAGTTGTCTGAGCTGGCTTGCTCCATGGCTCTACTAAGCCGTGCGAACTTGAGTAGCAGCTACGCCATCATCCAAGTTGGCTACCTTGGCGCATGCGCGAGATATCTCGTCCATTAGCTGTTATTAGTTCACCCTTTTGATGCCCTGCGAAATTGTCATTGATTTTTGAGCCGCGGCAACGGCACAATGCGATGCTCGCGAACTGCTCCATCCTGTCCTTACTACAGATTGCTCGACACGACCTCATCTGAGAATGTTGCTTTGGAGCTTTTCCTACGGCTCGGTGTTTACCTGGGCAGAGAAGGAAATTTATAGTTGCGCGCAATAAATGCCCAAACACAGGTGCACCATGGCTCTGAGGCTACGTTTTGAACTACATTCAAGTACTGCCACGAAAGCGAATTAAATGAAATCAAGAGGTGCAGTAGGTAGTATATTGTAACTAGGGTAAACAGGTATGATGGACTAAACAGCGTCCACATATGCTTTCAGCATACATACTAGAGTCACAGAATCAGAGCGAAACCCCCATCAAAAGTCGTGCCGAAGAATCTACCCAATGGGTGGGATATCCTTCCTACTTCGAGGGGAGCTTTCGTTTTGGGCTTCATCGTTTCGTTTTTTTTTATTTCGAATGAATTCGGTATCCACAGCTTTATTGTCGACCGCTGAAACCCCACAAGTTCGGTGGGAGGGGGGGGGTGGGGTACTGCTTCAAGAAAGGGTTCAACAAGTAGCTTACGTGAATTCTAAACAGGAGCACTTTATCGTGCACCGCTTCTGCACTAATATATCCCTGACTCCGCACCGAAAGAAACACAAGTATTACCGCGAAGGCCAGTAATAAACGGAACCAAGAAGTGGAGCGGTGGAACGATTGTGTCGTAAGCGGAGGTATAGTTGATTACAACTAAGCAAGTTTGAAAGCACGGGTCGGAATCGAGTTGAGGTACTTTTGCGTTCAAAGTAAAGCAGAGATACGGAATGGAGCCAGATGACGAAAAGACGAGAAGAAACCGTCGACAAGGCCGGGAATGAAACAATCTCCTACAGCAAAGGAGGCGGACTTGCTAGTACGGCCGGTCCAAACGGATTTTCCGATCGTTCTCCATAACAAGGGAATCCTTGATGATGTCCATTTACCTCTCTTCAAAGTCAATTATTGTTATTTGCCCTGTGTTTCCAAATCTACAGGTTTTTTTTAACCATTAGTTGCTCCGTGAAATCATCAACGCACCCTACCCAGCTTTCATGCCCTATACCAATCACATCTACTCCCGCGGTGGGCGGTCACGGCGTACGCCAGGCGGCCATGGCCCTATAAGCTAGGCCAGACGTGTTAACCGCGCAGTCTCAATATATGAACATATAATCATTTCTGTAGCTGCACACCCAGCCGCAGTACTAATAGAGAGGGTCCCTTCCACCGTCCAATCCTGACCCGTGCTTCTGAACTCCGTACGATAGAATCGCAACAGTGAGATGTAACGGAATTGCACAATTTCTTCCATAATGGAGCCCTGACATCACTAAATCTTCCAAGATAGCTAAAAATTTATAAAAACTATTTTATAGGGTAAGAATATTTTCGATGGAACTTCAACTATACGATATTCAATATTTTGATCACAGCTGGGAAATTCACTTCGCCGCCTGAGGTCACAACATTTCTCTATATTAATCGTGATTTATGTAACATACAGCATAGTCAGCACGAACACAGTGTGAAATAATCGTTTCACTAACCACTATGTTCGTGATCGAGGCACTGAGCAACAACTTCATCAGATACTATAAATGGGTGTCATGCTCGTGATCAGACGTGCCACTGGACGTCATGCGGGTTATGTTCAGCGCGTTGGGCATGGTTGACACCGACTCTTGACGCCCTTCAACCAATGGCGTTTAATCGTGTCATCGAAACCGTACCACCCTCCAGCCATCGTGATCACTGCTTTCATTGTGCGACACGAACGAGTCTGACAATTAGAGCACGAACTGTGACGGATCAATGATCCTCCGATCAAGAAAAAAACGCTAGATCCCGATGCTCAAGGCAAATGGTAATAAATGCCTTCAAACAAAGATAGATGGACGTCATCAGTAATCCCATCAGATTAAGATCACAGTAGGTTAAATCTTAGAGACGAGAAGGTGTCGACGTCTGGTAAAAACATCGAAAGGCTTTATTAAGAAGGTCAGTCTAGGGAGAAAACGACGGGAGTACGGGCGTGAACCCAAAATGATTCTCATTTCTGCTGAACAGCTTTAACGAAGTTGAAAGGGTGGAAATAGTTCCAGTATTTACAGATTTGAAGTCTTACATAGTATGTCTAGAAGTGATGCTATGCACTTTGAGGAACTTTTCTTATTCATACAGAAGGTTCAAGTAGTCTGCCGCTATGAAGAATTGAACCACAAAGGATTACCTCTCATTTTCCGCATTTGTAATGATGTTCAGGGAAAATTAGCCTGATTCCAGCGTTGCATGCAGCGGAAGCACACAAAAACCTGACAAGGTAAAAAGAGGAATAATCGAGATCTATTAGCCCGTCTACTTATTATTGGTGCGGTAATGGGGGGGGGGGTGGTGGGAAGGGGCGGTCGGGCATTCAAGATAGCGTTGACCCCATTTGCAACACACTGAAGCTAATTCAATGAGTTGGCACCTACGGCGCAGTCTTTTTTTTGCCTAAAACAAAATACATATAGAATCATTTTACTAGCAATATTTAGCTCTAGCTCCAACCGTACCATGGAAGGTCATTTGGTCGGGCCAGCCAACACAAACAAGGTGTTCGTTTATACACGCCTTGAGATGCCTCAAGCCACGGGTCGAGATAAGGTGCCAAGAGCTAGTCCTTGCTAGAATATGGAGAATCCAAGTCCACAATCCGCGACACTGCTGCGACTGAAAACTGCGCAGCAAAGGCGCTAGGGTCTTGCTTTGTACGCTGCCTGTCCTTCAGAGTCCAAAAATGATAAAAGGAAAAAGTATAGAGCTTTGCCATTGATCAATCCATTGTTGGGATGGGGCATGCATTCTACTTCCATTCATTCTTACATTCGCAGTGGCCTTTGAATGCGATGTGGCCTATACAATGACTTGCGGGGGCCAGCTGATGTTCAAGTCAGTGTTTTTATCCTCCCAGACAGGCCTGGTACATTAACCGACCCCGGAGGGATGGAAGGCTTGATTGGCACGGGTGATTCACGACTCAGGATTTGATCCCCGGAGCCCTAGCGCGGTAAGCGTGACTAGTTGAAATAAGGCATCGTATTTGCTTTTAGAAGGGAAGGGATTTGCATGCGCAGGGCCAGAAACAGAAAGCGTGACTGTATCTTGATCGATGAAGATGCAAAGAGAAGGAGCTGAATATGTATGTGAGAAAACGTAATAAAATAAAGGAACCCTTCCCGTAGCGCCCCTTCCTGGAACGCGCTACCTGGAAAAGGATGGCGAATATGTTAACAAACAGCAGTTTGAGAAGATGAGAGGCATCGGTGGACTTAGGCTTCCTCCCTGATAACAAAAATTACTTGCGAGGCTGGCTGGCATTCATGAGGAAAAGCACAAAGGGTAGGCTTACAAATGCTTCTGCAGCTCAATGCAGAAACCGAGTGCGTGGCGCATCTTAGAGTAGAATGTGTTAATGCCAACAACGCCAAAAACGATTCACCACGGAAGTTGATTGCAAGCTTGAAAGGGAACTTAGACAAAGAAAAGACTCTAGACTACGTAACTTTTCAGGTACGTTTCGCAAATGTGATAAATAAATTGAAGTAGATCCTCAATAGTTCTCGGTAACGCTTATTGGAGGAATCAAATCACCAGGCTCTCCATGACGGTCACTCATTTGCCAAAAAAAAAGTTTCGAAGAGAATTATGGCTGTTTGAACGTTGAAATTTGCATGTTCAAACAATCTACAACCTACTAGGAAACCTCAAAGAGAAAAATTTGCGACGGTATGATCTTTTGACACAGAGGGTCTTCAAGAAAATTTACTATTTAGCAGAAAGCTCTAAATGTGCAATTTCCCGCTACCGTTATCGATCTAGAGGAAAACAATATCAAAAGAAGTGATTATTCGGAGCCTAAAAACCCGGGTATGTCACATGAGGCCCGTCGCGCTGCAGAGAACGCATGACGCAAGCGGTCGAGTCGCAGCGCGTATTGTGCAACATGGGACGTCCGACGGGACATTCTATTTAACTTGACGCTAAGCACGCGCTGCAACTCGTTCACAGACCAATCTGGGCTTCTAACCTCTCGCCGCGCGATGGGCCTCTTGTCGGATACCCCAAAAACCCACATATTCGTATAAAGGATTGAAACACAGTTGTGAAATTAAAAACTTGCACGCGTACAAAATTTAATCGGCGGAGCGATTTCTGACAAAACATCTTTCGAGATAATCGTAGTCTCTTCAAAGACAATTACTTGAACTTTCTGAATTTTTTTTTACCATTCCGCAAATGGTGGTAGATGGAAAAAGTCAGGAGCAATAAAGAAGAGAAGGTGCATTTTTACGAAATTCCATCACTTCAATTCGAGACGTTGGAAATTCCCAGTTTGAGATAACCTCCTTAATGGAGGGAAGCGAGAATCAAGAAGATCCCTAGTCTTTCTAGAAGTTTGCTAATCGCAAACATTTTAGGGAAGGTATGAACTTTCGAAAGGCAATAAGTTCTAGCCTCCTCTATCAATGACGACTCAAGATTACCCGTAGAACAACGTACCGCATTCCCTCTTGCTCAGCAATCACAGTAAACTTCCCTCTTCGGAAAAAATGTACCTTTTTGAATCGATTTTTCAGGTCCTGTTCCGTGTAAACTCCTTTCGTCTTCGAAACTTCTGGGAACGCAGTGATCAATGCAGTCACGAAAGCATCCTCGTGTTCACACTGAAACAAAATGAATTTTTCCATGTTTGTAACAATGAACATTGGTGGGTTCCGTGGTCAGCAGTTAACTTATTCATTTTCGTAGCGCTGGAAACTCATTACACTAACGCTATTCGGCCATCAACAATGTGATGATAGGATGTTGCCGACTCTAACATCCCCTACCCCTCTTTCTCATTTCCCACTTACCATGGGCATTACGATTCGCCAAATCGGGTTAATGCGTAGCGTAAAGTGCTATAAAAGCGAAAAAAATGCATAGACAATCAATCAAATCCAATACCATGTGCAATGACTCGACTCTATCCTTCGCCACACTGACGTTCAAAAGAAGATTCCACGATAACGTCGAAGGTAGAAAAAAAGAAAACCTATCCAGCGGAAAGGCCCGGCGGACCACGTAGGAGCGCGGACCAACACACAATGCGCAGCGAAGTACATGCCCTGGCGACCTAGCATAGCCCACCCCGCGGCCCTATGAGCGCGTTACGCCTACCAGCTGATCAACTACTTGCCGCAGTCTCTAGCCTTCAGCAGAAAAAGCGTTAGCAGGGCCACATCGATAAGAGTCACATCGATGCGGATATCAACGGACAAGGGAAGGGTCTTATTTCTCGGGTTCTGGACCGTTGCTCATAGTTTTTTCTCCATCTCTGCAACCCTTATCACCTCTACTTTATCTAACGAACTGCCTTCTAATCGTGAACTCTGCCTTTAGGACGACACCTGACGCCATCACGGGCCCTGACATTCAACTCAGGCGCATTTGCAACAGGAAGCGCATCTTACTCGTTCGCAATTCCAAGTGGCTGTTCCTAGAACTAGTTTCATCCAGTGCAATAGGTGCAATGTACGTGCACCATATTATGCCTGGTCCTAGTCATATCGTGGGTTTGTTTTTCTAACCTCTATTTTCTAAATATGTAGTCAAACAAACAAGGTGAACTGAACGGTCCTTACAAACACGCTAAATTCTTTGGAAAGTTTTGGGAACAGATATTGAACAAGAAAAATGAACAAGATGGGGTAGCGCCTAAAATGCGTTGACTAAAAACAGTTGTACAATCTCCAACGCCCTCTCTTAGCAACGCTATTGCTCGCGGTCTCACCACGATCATCACGCCGCGCGAGCTGGAACACATTGTCTCAACAAATATAGGTGCTCATAGGTAGTGCACAATAGGAATTTTTCCACTGTGATTCCACTTTAACAAGGCATCCAGGACTCATTTAGAAAAGATATTTACCTACTCTACAAGATAGTGTGTTTCACTTTCACATTCGTTGCAAACACACTGAATTTTAGGCTTGTAAAATGAAAGGTCTAGTAGATGGAGGTTAGCCTAATCGACAACTAGCTTGAACGCTATTTTTCATAACAATAATAGAACTCCATCAGTTATTTATACTGCACTTAGTCACGACCTCTTCTGAACATTTCACCACTAAGTTGTCCAAAAACTCGTGTCGATCCTTCTTCAAGTTTACTTTTTACGCTGGAACACATGGGTTAGGCTCTATCTAATGCCTAGACACAATATTTTCACAGCCGAAGCGTCGAGAAACTGGTGAGATGTCTAGAAAAATGTCGTCACTAAGTTCGAAATGAATGCCCAATCGATTTTGTGACTTTTAGAGAAATTTTTTTGAACTAAAGTGATCATTTGTAGACTGGACACGTTATAACGTAGGCCTGAAATTCGACCTAATTCATAACGAAAATGAAAACAAAATTACTACCAAACCAAGCCGAAAAAATTTTAAAAAAAGTTTTACGAATTAGATGTAACATTATGTGGAAGAGTGGTGTTTTTAAGAGGAATTGGAGTTCAAAAAACAATTTAGCACAGCGGTAAACCAGAAAGCAGAGCGGAAAGTAACACGACAAATTTCAAACATCTTAATAGCAGGACGTTCTGAAAGATCGTAAATCAGTAAGAGGTGCATCATTGATCGATTACTCTTAAAGGAAAACAAAGTGACTAGACGGTTCGGCTTATTTCGCCGACTAGGCCTCTCATTTCGCACACCTAGAACCAATCGCTACAAATGTGGATTCGAAACACGCTTTTGTAGAGTATATCACTCTTGAATGGCTTACGAGTTTATGTAAAAATATAAAAATATGGGATTACAGCAGAAAAATCCCGAAAAAAACGACACTAATGGGACGATGAATAGAAGACGATTCGCAAATCTACTCTCTCTTTGAAAGACCACAATCTTTTCCGTTGCTAAGACGAGAAAAGAAAGGAGAAGGGAAAAATAAACCGGTTTGAAAAATTTTAACTTTTATGACAAGGACACGGAGTCGTGGGCAGCGTGTATGGGACGCGCATCAAAAATTAGGATCCCAAGTTTTCTCCAGAGTTTACGACAAAATTCCACTGTCCGCACTACATTTCCCAACAACGAAGGTCAATCGGCTCATTGCACATCTTCACTCGATGCCAAGAAGGTAGAGTTTAAGTCACCAAATGATGAACTTCGGAAACGCTAGAGCTGAGACTTCAGAAAGGAGCTGCATAAACCGATTGTAATCATGTATTCAACTCCATGCTTGCGAAGTTATGAAGACAAATAATAAAAATAAGGAGAGCAGAAATACATACTGAATCAGCAATGCCCTTAACAAGCACCTCTCCTTTTCCCCTTTCAGGGAAGGGCGTGTTTCGAGGAGCTTTCCGGAATTGCTTGCTCCATGACTCCGTCCATACGCGCGATTAGGACTCAGCGGCTATCTTAATTAGCCGCTGAGTCCTAATCCATTGCGGTGTCCTGAAAGTCCTCGCCACTTGTCGATTTTTTCAAATCCGCATTTCTTCTCTAACCCAGCCAGCAATTTACAGTCATATGCCCCATCGTCATCGTCAACATCCTGCTTTTCAGCAGGTGGCTTGCGGATACCGTTTGCTTAGAAGTCCTGAGCTTTCAAGACAAAAAACTGGAAGAAGTCCGTTCCCGAGTGGCCCAGAACATAAAGCTCTCACCCTTTTAGTTGAATCAGCAGCAACAGAACCAGATGGTATGTTGTTGGGGCCGGATCGGGGAACACAAATGGCGGGACAGAACATCCCATGAGGGGCTTGGAGACTTTTGCTGGACCTTTTTCAAAATTATTTGACGATCGCTGCTCGGATGAAGTGATCTTTGTAATATTTTCTACGTATCGTGTTGGAGATCCCATCTGCTTGCCCACATTATTAACTACGACAGCAGTGAAGTTCGATGGTAGGAGCTGTCGGCAAACGAACCGCTTGCAGCTTTACCAACTCTGAAAGTTGCCTCTCAAGTTGCAGTGCTGGAGTGGACGTCGCAATTTTTGGTTCTGTGCGTCTGAGCCAGTGGCGCTCGCGGGTGTGATTCACTTGAGGAACCCACTCCTTGTTACCACCAACAAAGTAGTTGGATCATGCGCGTTATACACGGTAAATCAAAATATTCATGCAAAATCTGAAGGCTTCTGAAGGGGATCGTCATCAAGATCACGGAATCCCCTTTTTTCCATAATTCCTTTTCTTTTTGAGGAGCTATTGAGGAATGGCCAGTGTTCGGATAACTGTGGAAAAGCTGTGTCAGTTACCGTGCACTGCACCACAGACTGTTTCCAAACAGCTCCAGAAGTCACCCGTCACTCAGTGTAACTAGCCAACCGACTTGGAGCTTTTTTCTTGAGTTTCTGTACATCGGCAACCAAGTCTTTGCCATGTCTTAAGAGGCACTTTGGAGGTCCTTCGGGAGACGTAGGGCTCTTGCCACATCGCTTCCACTGACGCTATTTCCGGGTTTTAGAATCAAGAGTAGCCAAACATGCTTTCGGTCAAAGTCGATTTTTTCAGCCATAATAGCTGCGAAATACCACGGCAGAGAAGCTCTGGAGAGATCATCGACTGAGGTTCACATACGTTCTACAATGGATGTTGAAATATTTTCCCTGAAAATCCATAACATACACATAGAAATGGGCAGACTTTCAGGACAACCTAATACTTGCGTGTTACGGGGTGTGCGTGAGAAATCGCGTCCATTTCCTCGCATTTGGTCAGATTTGCTGAACTTGTAAGTCGCTAGTACCTTTGTTGCACGGAATTGAGTGCAGTAACAGCACTACTGTAATACTCGTGGAAAGCTAATTTACAGAATAGACAGTTTTAAACAAAGTATCATGGGACACTCCTGGGAGAACAGTATACTTTCTCAAAACCAATGATCAATCATTCAAAGATTGTGAGCGCTCACGAATAGTAGCAATGACGAGATATCAAGAGTAGAAGCAACAGGAGAATAAAAAAAACGCCAAATACTAGCGAAGAAAAATGCAATCATCCGTATGACGATGGGGACACTGCGCGTATTACACTCAATTTTGAAATGATTGATAAGCTCCAAAATAGAAAAAGGAAAAAATACCTGTTGTAGAAGTGATAACGATTCTTCTAGCGGGAGTCGACGCTTCTCCATGTCTTCGCCTGCTTTGTTACCATGCTTGATAGACTCAATTAAATTGTGACAAGCAATCCAAAACTGCTTTGCGCGACGATTCTCGGAATCCTACAAATCACGGAAAATAGTGGTATCTCAGAACCAATACCTGATCAGAACGAAAAACCTACCATTGCAACTCTACTATTCAAAGCCGATTCAATGCCTGCTAAGCGACTCAGCGCTGCACCAACTTCACGACTATGATGATCACGTTCGAGCCTAACCGCCTGCAAATGGTGTATAACCAGCATGTATATTATAAAAAATATAAATGATCTGGACCAACGTACCTCTTCAACCTTCTGGTTATGCTCTATTTCAAAAAGTTGACGCTGTGTACGAATAACTTGCTCCAAATGCTCTGAATGTGCGGCTGCTGTTCTTCTTAGCTGGTCTTCCAATTCAGTTTCCCACAGTGAGCGTTTTTGCATCACCTGATAAAGACATCCTTTTCCTGTACAGACTTATTCTGTGAACAGCAAACTCACAGCTCTTTCTATTTCTACGTCTTGCTGTTGTTGAACACGCTGCAGCTCGATTCTGAGACGTTCGGCAGCGATACGCTCATCCGCTTCGCGTTGGTCGGCGATAGCACGGGCGATATGTTGCTCCTCACGCACCTGCGCAATAAAGCTGTCAATAAAATAACAAAGACAGCGCACCCACAAAAATACCCTCATCTTGCTTTCATTAGCCACCCCAGACACTCACACTTTACTCTCCAAGACTTCAATATTTTATTTCCATCACACTTTACTCTCCAGGAATCATATTTCCACTACTAACGGAACTATTAGGAGAAATATGTTTCCACTCACGTCTACAGCGCCCACATAATAGCCATTGCCCCAGATTATCATAATGAATCCGCACCGCACAGAAGAAACAATGCTACTGAACATAAGAATGCAAACACGACAAGCCAATTTCAGCTACCTGTTGTTCCGACAATTGTCTTCTCAAGTGGTCCACCTTCAAGTGAGCATGAGCAATAAGAGCATTCAACTCGTCCTCGGTAAGATTTTTATTCTGAAAAAAAAATCGTAAACAGTTCGGAAACCACTCAAACGCAACATGACGGCAGTTGTGGTTGATCATTGAAACATTCAAAGAACCATGTGACGTCCATTAAGACTACTGACCCTCGTGTCGCTACGGAGGACCTCCACGAACGTGAAGAAAACCAATTTCAATAAGTGGAGTTGAGAATGCCAGAGGTTCACAACTGTCATCACCGGGAGTTCAGTACTCCTATTGGGTCACATCACCAGCGTGATGATTGAAGCCCAAGGTAAAGCTCAGAAGGTTTGTTACGAGCAAATAAGAGATGTTCTGATCTGAGGTGACCTCAGCTCACGATGAGAACTGAAAGACACCCGCCATCACCTCGCTTGACGTTTACAAGAAGTTGTGATTACATACAACTGTAGGAACACATGGCTTATCCCTAGATATCAGGAAAATTTTCAAGGTTTAAACTGCCCTTCTGCCCCCACCGACATAGCTGAGACAGTGTTACCGTTGAAGAGGGCACGATTAGAGATGCATCAATACGGAAATCAACGGGCAAGGAAGTGGTTCCTTTTCTCAAGTTCTGAGCAGTTTCACAAGGTTTTCTTGGTTTTCTTTCTTTCTTGTACCACTCACCATCCTCAACTTAACTTGAAATGGGTTGCTTTTTCATCGTAAATTCTGCCTGGCTTATTTGTGGCCGTTGCCGTAAGCCACTATTAGCAATGCACCTCTCTTTGCAGTACCACCAACGACACATTCAGACCTCTCCGAAGAAAGCTTCTAGGTTTTCTTGCTTCTTAGTCAGCTAGCTAGTTCCTCCGAATGGAATCCGGCAGCGATTAAGTTTATGGTTCGCGCGCAGCATCCATCATCAGCCACTATTTATGGCAATAAATTTTCCCGTTGTGAATGAAAAAGACTATATTCACATATCGATTTTACCGGCACAATTTATGCGCATCGACTTGGAAATTGCTCGATAACCTAGATCGGAGGCACGGACCCTGCGACTGCGCGGGACTAATGCTAGGGAGAAGAAGAACCTAGCAAACAGCAAAGAGCAGCAATCCGAACACATCCAAATCCTTAATGCTCTTCAATTTTTCAGCGGTTAACGGAACGGAGACCCAAAGCACATAGACAATTAATGAATTTGATAAGCCAGAGTGCTCCCTCACAGATTACAATGGTCTACGGCAGGAGCGCTTTTCTGGGAGAGATTATGACCACTAGGCCAAAAGTCACCCGAGTAGGCTACAACTTAGCGATTACATTACCTATTTAGCTTTGAGCTGTTGTTCCATGAAAAGTAAACAAATAAACTTTAACCGTGAAGCAGAAACTTATGAGACCCTGGAAGTAATCAAATTTCATCTCAAACTTCACATTATAGTGCAGATCGCAGCGTCAGAGTAGGTGTATAATACGGAGTTCCACGTAAGTGACTAACAAAACGAATAATTGTGCAATATGCATAACCGACAACGTTTTCGTCCACTAAAACGCTCTTCTCTATCAACAAAAGGGCACATTGGCTTCAAATAAGACTGGTGACTCATCACTTCAGAATCTCCGTTTCGAAGCGATGTTACATATTAACAGTTCAGGTCTCTGGACTTGCTGATAAGCGCACCACAGAAAAGATGTCGCAGATCTGTTTCCAACTGTTTTTTGCTGTTTTTTTAACATTTGACCTCAGCAGGCTTTGTATTAGTTAGAAGTAAACTGCTGAAACGACAATAACGTTGTTGATCAGCATACTGCACAACTATTGGCCGATGTCAGACTCTGCGATTGGAGCGATCGGTCAAATGTCAATCGCGCGACCATCGTGAGTCCATCATGACCAGCTATGCTACCACATCGGCGCGAGGCGTCACTCGCGTTGTGGCGAGGCAACGTAGTAGAAAGGGGGTCCGACGCCAGCTATTGGATCGCTCCTGCCACAACGGGAATGATCGCGCCCATCGCGCGATTGGAGCGATTGGTCATGATGGGACTCATGTCAATCGCGCGATCGTCGCGCGAATCGCGCGATTGCATTTGACCGATGGCTCCAATCGCAGAGTCTGACATCGGCCATTCGTGTTGCTAGTCACGTCAGTAGACAGGTCCTGACAGATCTGCAGAACTCTTCAAACGCTGAAATATTCACTATAACTGGCTTTGCATAACTCAGCTTATAAAATATGCCTAATTCTTCCGCACAGTTTCATCGGATCCAGATTACACGCCAGCCATTCTATTTCTCATTGAAACCCCTATCGGTGGCTGCTCAGCCCAACCCATTTACAACAATTTAAAAAATATCCATCAATTAGGTAATTCCATAAGTAATAAGCATTTCCTATGATGCCTCGAAACATTGCGAGAAATGGAGAGAAAAACACCTGAATTCAATGTGGGTAACTGCAAAATTTATAGGGTTATCGTTCGTTCTCTTGTTGCAAAATTTGATGTGAATCTCGAATAACATTTTATTCACATGACATGAGTGGAAGAATCAAAAGAGCATTTTTGGTGTGTTTTTCTCCACCAGCACATAAAAGGAAGGAGCGCCAAAAAAACAGCCAATATTGAAGAATTATGGAAGGAAAGCTCTATAAGTGCAAGTCAATGCTAGCGACGGCTCCAGAGGTTCCGTTCTGCAAACTACTACCTGAGAGATGAGTCTCGTACTGGAAAGCTCACTGGGCTTACTTAAGATGTTCTGTGAAAGAGAGTGGAGAAAAAATTCAAAGTTAACACCAACAAATCAACAGGGGAAGTCAGATTCGGCTAACCAACCTTCTCCCCCTTTGAGAAAGTCTCTAGGTAGGATTAGTGAGCGTTGCATCAACTTTTCAGACTCATTTTTCTGCCTTGTAGAACAAAGATGGAAATGCGAATGCTAAGCGACTTGTATGGCAAAACAGAAATCATCCTCCATAATCGTCAAAGATTGCACTACCCAATTACCACTTATCTGGAGCTTAGAAAATCATCTGAACGGAAAAAAGATGGGTTCGGTGGACAAGGTCTGAGAGGCTGTAGGAAGATATTTTTAACACATTGACGACATTGAGACGCGGTAACGCGTCTCACTTTGCGCACCTCGTTGGACATTGAGACGCGTTACCGCTCTCACCCTTATCATCCCTTTTTCTAGGGCATGCACAGAGCTTTTTCCCGAATGTTTGCCTCTCTCTCATGGATTAGAACATAACATTATGGATACGACTAAGGTCATTGTCTTGTTCAAATATACTCCATTTAGAAGAAGGTTTTCCAAGCTCACCGAAACCCGCGCTTGGTTATCATTAATAGTTTTTCATGCAATTCTCATGAACACGTCAATAAAAAAAGGGTAGTGAAAGTAAATCAAATCTCAAGAGACAGAAAAAATCCATGTTTCACTTGGTATAAACCACATCAAGAGAGCTTTTGGCATCCACTACAGATAAAATGACTGAAATTTCTTTTTTCATTACCATTATATGTTCTTTAATCGGAACTTCGTCACTATATACTTATTACCTTCTACGCATTGACTGTTACTGAAATGTTTTTGTACCACTGGTGCTTTAAAAGTTATCAATACAAATTCACCGGATCCGAGGTGCGGCGGTCGAACTCGGCAAAATCGGCCCGGTCCCACACGGCCAAAAAAGCCAAACGCGGGCGGTCGTCAATGTGTTAAATAACGACAGGATGTTACGTATATATCCCACCCTGCGCCGGTGCAATTGCGTACAGCAAGCGATTACAGTACACCCACGCCTAGTTCTACTGGCGTTGACATTTGTAACTGATGATCACAGGCGGGGCTCGTGATGAAAGGAAATGGGAAGACTAATCAATTTATAACTAGCACGGCTCCGAATATTGTACTGAGTCGAGCCATGCATTTCTCCTTTCGGATAGGTGACGGGTACGGAAAGATGCTCTACATATCGTTGGAAAACATTGCGCGCCTGGAAACCACTCTAATTTCTCATGTCATTTACTTCTTAACATGCAAAATAGGGTAATGTGCTAGTGTATTTATAATGTTCCGCACCAGAACAATCATTGATGCCATTATGCATTGTACCAGTGCAGTGAGGGACTCGAGGGGACGAAGTTTACTTGGCACCTGAGGGGAGAGCGAGTTCTGATTCGTGAGGTAGTTTTCATCATAAACTGCTTAGTAGTTGCGTCTCACGGCCACCTTGTTTTCGAGTTGGTAGTTGATATATTAGCACTTGTAGACATTTCCATAGACATAGAAATCTGATACGGAGGTATCCTTGTGAGAATGACTTGTGCTGAAAGTGAGAGCGCGTACTTGTAGATAGTAGGCCACGGGATATGTCATTCTTTCTGTAAGAGATGCCGTAAAATGTAATTCAGTTCCATTGGAGATAATCCGCTTACAGGAGTGTTTGCGTTACTGTTGCGAATCAATTTCTTGAGGCGCTAGTGTACTCAAAAGGGGCATGCTCACGCTGACTGAGCCTTGGAGAAGAGGGTGAACTTTGAGGGTAATGAAAACTGCTTACACATCCCCCTAGTCTCACAGCCTAGTACTAGGGAGACCAGCAGGGGGTCGGGAGGAGCATGATGACTTGGCGCTTTTATTCGCCAACCTTGTGTGGGATTTTACAGCTTCTGCGTGGAAGATAAGGCACAATGTGGCTCGGGAGGGTCACCTCGCAACATCGCGTCAAAATTACGGAACCGCTCCGTTTCAGGACTAAGCTTTTGGAGAGAAGAAGAACTCCGGTGTACGGAAGCAATTTTCGCATTCTCCGGAGTTTGTCTCTGCTGTTTAGGCTTAGCCCTAGATGACTTTTCTCATAGTGCCCCCCCCCCGAGCCACATTGATAGCAGTTCTTTGATAATAGCAGTTCTTTACGTAAGCTGTGATCGAAAGCTTAACTATTGCGCTATCAATGGGAAAACTGTTCTCCACGATCCCAATCATTTTGCATTAAATGTCATGTTCATTGTTCGCTTCCGCTTTTGCTGGAAATGAGATAGGCATTTCTATATCCACTACCACAAATATTCACTGCTGACATCTCGAAGATATATGCAGAAAACTGCTAGACAAGATATAAGTCATCCAGTCTTATTATTTCCTCTCATCACAAGTTCTACCCGTAGTTATACAATCGAAAACAGGGTGCCACCGACAGCGGAACTAGCCGTGAGATACTGTAATCGCCTGCTATGTGCAATCGCACGGGCGCAGGGTGGGATAGATAGCGTAACATCATAACGACAGCATATTTTTTTAAGATGAGGTTTTGAAATTTTTCAATAGGAATGCTTGTAACTGCAGATTGACACTGGTATTTGAATGTAATATTTCTTAAAAAAAATCGATGGCGTGCTAAAACGCTCACTGTTCATGATATGACTCAATAGATCCTGCAAAATCTTTTGCAACAGTATGTCGTGAGGATCTTTGGTCTAGCGAGCTGTATTTGCAGCAATCGAATGATCGGATAAAAATGAGCGGTCATTAGCGTACTGAGCGGAAGGAAAAAATTCAGTCTCTAAATATCCAGGCAGACGAGATTCATGACTAGAAACCCACAACGGAAACACACTAAACACCAAAAAACAGATGCAAGGCGTGATCCAGAAGTCCTAAGTAATTCAGATCCTACCTTTTCATTGACATCCACGTTTGGAAGAATACTTTTCATTTCGAGTGCGAATTGACTGCGACTACGTTCAATGAGGTCTTTATACTGGTTAAGAATTGTTGACTCTTGACGTGCCTAAAGAAATACTATCTCGGAACTGTATTTACCACATAATTGCTAAAGAAAGGGTCACCTTCAAGACTAGACTATCGAGCTCATCAAGTTGATGGGATAACTTGTTTGCTGTTTCAGTTGCATTCAGAAGCAGTGGATTATTAGCTGTCACGGAATCTTTCTTGCCATGACTGATAACCTATAACAAACATTGGCACGATAAAAATTTGAAAGAAAAATTAGATTCATGGAATTACTGTGCGAAGATTGTCAATGTAATTCCTCGCATCCGCTTCCGCTATCCCATCCTTGTGAGCAAGTGATTCGGCATGCTGGAGTGCTGATGTTACCTGGAAAATTTGTCGTTACAGATGATCCTCATTACTTTCAGAATGACTGAGGGACGGTTTCACGAATGTGTAGAAAGGCTCAGCATATTAGTGCGTACATCAGAAGCAACCCCCACAGTATGAAGTCAGTATTTCAAGACACAGTCGCCTACCACAGGCTACGATTCAGGATTTGATCCGCGATGCGCGTGATAATCAGCGTCACATGCCAGTACACCACTTCCACTCCTAACATACAATATTAGACGTAAGCATGGCTACAACATTGGGCTCCAAAAAGCGCAGTTACACAACTGTGAGAAGGGCTCTTGATCACAAACGAATTTATAGAAACTCTAGATACGATTCGCTGGTTTGATAACCCTTTCTTGATGAATGGCTCCAGTACGCCGAGAAAAACATGGGATTTCCACCTTCATGACTCGCCCTTGACCGCCATGTGACTCTTAGCACAGCCCACTCAATGATATTTATGAAATGAAACTTTCTTGGAGTGGTGGACCGGTAGTGGCCGAAAGCACGAAACGAGGTGGGTGAATTTGTCGAACAAGGTATTCAGCGCAATATAGTAAGGAGCAGGAAAAAACCAGATGACGGAGATTTCAAAGTTCCAAGTCAAGTGCGGGAAAGTCAAATGCAGCAGATAAGGAACGGTCCTTATATGGTTAAACGAAAGTTTTGTAGAATGGACCGTAGAAAAACGAGGTTGTACAATAAAAGGCACTTCTAACCTTGGTCGTGAACGATGCACATTCCAAGACCAATGAAAAAATGTTCACGGTTAAGCAGATTTTTAATCGATAGAAATCTCTGGCACTCGTAAAGACTGCAAAAAGCAAATGGAGCAGAACAGCCCACTCGGAATTGAAATCCTGGTTCATTTATACGTGAGCACGAACATCGTAAATATGCGTAAATAAGAGAGCATGCTGAGTGCAAATAACGGCTATTCTCCCATGGGAACTTTAGTCAACTGGAACCTTCAGAATGATTGCATTTCCAGTAAATGACACGTCGAGTGACCTAAGAACATAAGATTTGCTCTACTTATCCACCTAAGCAGGCTTCGGCTGGACCTCTTTATTTAGATCTCCGCTCTTAACGACTATCGCGCGACATTCTCGCCTTAGCCACAGAAGTTTGTTCCAGTGTCTTACTGTTGCGCTATAATGACCGTAGCCATCGTTGCAATTCTGCTGAAACCATGAAGATGCGTCATGTTAAACCTACTTTTTCCCAATCAGCATTCTGGGGCTCGTCCACTGTCGCTTTAACAAGTGCCGCGTGTTCGTTTATTGCCGTTATCGTCTTGATTTTCGCGTCAGTAGCAGCGCTGACCTTCGTCTCAGCAGAATGAATTGCCGATAGCAAGGAAGACTCCAACTCTGAAAAATATGACAATGCAGAGAAAGGCTGTGGGAGATACGTTTAAAACTGACCTTTTGTTCGTTTAGCTATAATCTCTGGGCTCGGTTTGACATCCCCAGTTTCCATAGCTGCTTTCACATCAACGGGATCCACGTGTACAGGAGGCTTCTTTTCGAATTCAGGGAGGGTATATCTGCTCAGAGGGGGAAGAACCTTGAAAGAAGGGTGCATTTGGAGATGTGTGAAATCTGATCAATATCATTCTAACCTCTTCAACTTTCTTCTTAGGGAGAACATTTGCTGCTTGGTCTTTCAAATCTAGCAACTGCTGCTTTGTCTTTCTGAAAACGATGCGGATACTTTTATATGCAAATCGAGGTTGATAGTCGGAACCTAATTCATCGGCCGCATTTAAATCCCTTCCTCTTCTCCAGAGCCCTGAGGATAGCTTAAGCCTTCAGTTTTGGAAACCACCTGACTAAGACGTGCCTCCTTCTAGCGTTTCTGAAGTCGTATTGAGAAACACTTCGGAATCACCCGATACCCTGGAAAACCCATCAAATTCCAGTGCTGCGGAGCATTAGCTCATGCCCTGTTAGTTGTGTATGTATCGGCAAATGAACCTCGCTAAAGCCCCATGGTGCCATGGTTTCATGTATATCAAAAAGTGCCATACTGGGATACTGGGCCCCACTTAGAGCAATCCTTCATCATATTTCACTGGCTTGGGACCCATCGTTCACCGCTACGAATGAAAAGAAAAAAAATTGCATTTGTTTCAGTAGAAAAGCTCGAAAAACTGACAGAGCTGCTACACCTTCAGAGCACCGCCGGGAATCTGTCACAAAGCTGGCGACGGAAATGCTTCCAATTGGTTCTCGGAATGCCGTCAGAAACCTTTCTGGCGTTTTGACTTATTGCATTAATATCTCACACTTCCACTGCATCCTATTCTATTGATCGTTTTGTCTATATTCCCAAAAATCGCATGTTTTAACCCGTTTCGGTAATCGGTACCCTGATACAGAGCCCAAACAAGGCGCCCCTCATTCCATGCCTCGCCTTTGGCGCCGCGTTACCTACTTTCGACTGTCCATAGATTGTGCTAATCATGGTTTCTCTTCGGAAAGTGAATGTTGGTGCGTGAAACTTTGTATGTTGTCTCTAGTGATCACCACTGACATATGCGTGTTTGGAAGAATGCAAGATTTTTCCGGGAAGGATTCCTTTAACATTGGCTAAAGAATAAAAGCCCATCGATCGACCTGAAGGACAACACAATTCGGCAATAGGTGCTGTATTTCCAGTAAGGGATAAGATGGGGACTGCTCATAAGGTAGACATGTACTTTCTGAAGTAGTCTAATACATTAACTGAAATACTTACGAGAGGCTAGATGAGCCGAGTACCGCATCAAACACCTGCTTGGTTTGAGGAACAGTTGTTTCAACCTGAAAATATTTCATAAAAACGACACTTGGAGTCACTTTGAAAACTTACTCACTTTATTTCTGAATTCAGGATCCACGTAGGCATAACCAATTACACCCACTGCAGCAGTAGCAAGCGCTCCAACAGTGTAGACAAACTTACGTCCTGATTTCCTGAATTCTTTTCAATGAGGGATGTAGAACGAATGAAGGGAAAACGCAAATGCCTGAAGGGCGAGAGGTGTACAATAAGATATCATCAAAAAGAACAATTGAATGACATTTTTTCGGGCCAGGAATATGAGAATTGAATCATAGCGATTGGCTGTTCATTTTTAAGAAGTTGCATTACTGGTATCGACGGGCGCATCCAAGGCGCTAGGAAAAGAGTGATAGTTGGGTTTACCTGGACACTCAAAAGAAAGTAAACGAAGATTCAAACACTACCCACGACTGCAGATATACCCAGGTTTGAAAAAGAAAATGATAAAGTAGATCCGACATTTAACATCCTGACAACAACATGGTGATTTAGTACGCAGGGAACGTGTGATATTTTATCGTAACAACCTTCTTCCCTCATGTGGAAATTCCTTACATTTGTTCATATCCATCCTATAGACCTTAAATGAACATAACCACGGCCGTGGTCAAATGCTGAATAAAGCTGCGTTTTGCTATTTTTTGACTGCTCCCAACACTGAGTCTATCCCACGCGGTAGAAACAAAAATGTGCATGCCGTCAAAGTGTTGATGCGTTCTGCAATAACCGTTAGACCTGAACTCCAGCAGACAGTACCTCACGGAATAGCAAGCAAACATATGACTGATCACCGGCAGATTTTCAGACTTTTTCATGGAAGCTCTGTAGGTACTGTTTTCGTGTAGAGAGACATCACGCTAAGATTGCCAGATGCTAAAAGGACCAATGGAGTTTCCGCCGGAGACCGCTCGAAAATACAATGCTCTTGAAGCATGGCATTTGAGTCAGCGTACTTTACTGACTGAGCAGTGAAACAGGCATGGCACTAAACTTTTCCCAACAACTTTATGAAAAGGTCCCAAAACTATTTATTACACTTATGGTGTATTTACCTACTCACCGCTTCTGAAGTTCTAGGTGAACATTACTTGCAACAAAAATAAGAATTTCTCTTGAGTTTTGTTTACAGCTCGAGGGAGAGGGTGGGGTCTCCGACCAATGTGCACTTCTTACTTTTGACAAAACCAACGGATGTCATATCCCAAATACTGATATACCGAGTTCTTTTTTTATCATTAGGTATACTTTCATCAAACGCCGTTTCAGTCGCCGAACGGCACAAGTCACAAGCTATGGACAGCGCTTTTGCCTTGAACATATAGATCTTCGCACTGAAGGGGTGGTGGGGGGGGGTCAGGCAAAACAGCGAAGCACAAGGAAAACATTCCCTTTTCTTAAGCCGTAGCATTCTGTCCTGAACTGTCGAACTGTCGCCTAAACCTACACCCTGAAAAAATGCCGGACGAGTTTTTTTTTGGCAAGCTGCCCACTGTTTGAATTAGTTCGTTGTGGAACCATGCTGCATCCACCCTTGAACATCATTCGGTTTTGCGCTTCTTCGGGCTGCAGTGTCAGGTTGGAGATATGGAAGGATTGTTTCTAACCGTTCAACCTCAGAGTGAGGCAAAGTCGTGTGAGTAGTCAGGTTAATGTCAACTATTGGTTCCCACCAAGCCATTTGTGACTGTTGAATGTGACTATACACAGATACGTTCAATTCGAGCGTTTAGGGGGTTTGAAGTACTTTTTTCATGTGACACACATATTGTATGATGAAGTAACGATTGCGAACAGCTCGGAGCTCAAATAAAGAACCAAAATCGAATGTAGTAGGCTTAATCGCGGAATCAACAACGAATGACTCCACTGATCAGCGTCGACGACGATTCACGGAAGTAAGGGCACCTTTTCTACAAGGGTTGCTCCTGTTCCACATAGGAAATCACTTTGCCGAGAATGTGATTACGAAGCATTTGATAATCATCTAGTCCAAATGGTGCCATAAATGAACAGGGCGCAATGCGGCTCCGGGGGGAGGGGGGCAGCAGAAAACTTGGCGTCAAATTCACGGGTTTGCTCAGTGTGGGGCTAAGCTTTGTAGGAGAAGAGGGAATTTTCGCTGCGTAAGCAACTTCGCTGCTAAGCCATTTTCAATCGCTCCGAAATTCGTCCCTCTGCGTTAGGCCTAGTACTTGTAGCTTTCCGACAGACTACCCCTCCTCCTCCCCCAAAGGCACATCGCGCCACGAACCGTAACCGAAATGGCGGAGTCAAAATGTGACCTATGCATGGGCTGAAATCTTTGAACAAGGCCAAACATGAATCTAAGTGCTGAATGCTCGATTCGGTATGAATCGCTTATGAAGCGTATCTCAACGCTAAGCGCCTGCTATCCTATTATAAATGCCTGGAGAGAATGATAACTAAAGTTATATAGTATTAATAACATTCGATGCAAAGAATACATGTGACATATATGTATAAGCAATTGTCGGCGCAATGTGCTTCGGGGGGGGGGCAGCCCGTCGGAATCCCACTGGGTCTGAGCCTAATGCAAAAGGATGAATTCCGGAGCGAATGAAATTCACTTAAACAGCTCGATTTCCTCTTCTCCTCCAAAGCTTAGTCCCAAAACTGAAAATCCGTGAACCTGTCCTAGTGTTACAGGATGTCCCCCTCCCCCTCCCCACTCCGTAGCCACATTGCACCCAAGTGTCTTGCGCATTTCTCTTTGGTTGACTCACTCCTAACCGCACTGGCCGATGTCAGACTTTGCGATTGGAGCGATTGTGCACAAATTGTAGGAGCGAGTGCGAGCGACGGGAGATTTACGAGCTGGTGGCGCCGAATTATCGGTGGTTTGCGGTGTAAATCTCGCGTGACATCGGCCACTGAAAACCTACCCATTGAAAACCTTCTAGTCTAAGGAAGTGCCAGAATCAATTGGTGGTAAGAGAGGAGCATAGTCCCGCAACGAAGTAGGTTCAAAAGTGGGCAGCATGCCAGGAAAACTCGTCCGGCATTTTTTCAGAGTGTAGGTTTAGGCGACAGTGTAGCATTAGCGGAGGTTTACTCGTAATTATCAAAGATGAGTGTCAAGACATGAAAACATAGTAAAGATAGTAACTCACTTCGGCGCGGCTGGTTTTGGAACAGGAGGAACAGGAGGAACAGGGGGAGGGGTGGGCGGCACTTGCGTGGATTGAGTAGTGGGCACTGCCTGCGTAGAAAGAGTCCGAACTCCTTTCAGACTACGACTGAGAGATTTCTTCTAAAAATTACAATTAAATGGTAAGCAAGATAATCGATCATGATCACCATTTACTAACCGTGACAGCACGGAGCATTGCTAGAGCAAGCTCTCTCGCGAGAGAGCAGACAGCACCTAAAAACAAATAAAGTAGTCCAAAGGTCACATACTAGATTTCTGTAAGCGCTTACTGAAACCCGAACAAAGGTTGAAAATTATTAATTTGAATATCATGTAATGTAGACCAGTAAAGATTTGCAATCCTTGATCTTTGAGAAATTTCAAAGACTTACAACTTTAAGGAAGTTTGGAAAAAATACGAACGCTACAAAGAAAACTTGCAGATTGACAATACGTAAACAAATCTCCTCCTTTACTTAAGTATGGAGAATTAAAAATTGTTACAATGAATGGAGGCTTATCCAATGACTAATGTAATGGGATATCCCAAGCATTGCATTCTATGAAACTAGACGTCCGTTTAGATGCACGCACGCAGCGCTCACACAACCTGCCAAGATATACGCAGGTCGGTACACGATCACTTACGTACTGGGAGTAACACAGGTACGAAGAAATGTCGTGCCTAGATCCGTGGTAAGACCTGGCAATGATAATATAGCTTCATTTACGTGGGTATTTTAAAAGGTAAAGGTAAAGGGTCTAGTGTTTATTCCAATAACTACAGGCATTTTGATGCAACGGTCCGTACTACTTAGCAATCCTAGTTTTCGAAAGGGAATGAAGTAGAGTGAACCGCCTTGCTTGTGCAGAACCGAAGCTAGCTGAGCAACTTTTTATGACCTCTGTAATAAGAAAGGTGTCTCTGAGGTTTTTAAAAGTCTTAGGTCTTCGCAATAGAATGCCGCTGTCCCCCCTCCCCAGCTCCTATCCATTGTATAGACTCAGCATACACATTTTGCATGAGGCACAACACAGAATGACTGGTTTTATGTCGGTGTAGAGTTCATGTAGCAGACCCAATACAAAGGTAATACACCTCCCGGTTATTGTCACACAACTCATTGGCACATCATCCGTAGTCGTGTGAAACACCAAAATCTGATAAATGTATTGGGTTGTTCAGAAAGTTTCGCCGATTTACAGCCCGAAATTCAGAACCGCATATCCAGCATTTTATCGAGCTACTGTTACAATCGCTATACTTTAGCCAATAGAAAGAAGCTTTAATAGATCCGGATGTTGGAACTGCGGGAGTACTATAAAAGACTAACTTGGTGAAGGTCTCACCATCAAGTTGGGTTTCGAGGCTCAATCCCTTTAACATCTCGGCTATAGCGCGGCAATTATGTATGCCACCATTTTTGCACCTCGTTGGACGTTGTGGCAACTATGTATGCCACAGCATTTATTTACATTTATTTTTTGCGCACATGCCTGATTTTTTTCCAGTTTTTTTGTTTTCATTTTATAGGCCATACACCAATATAACCAAGAACAACGTGGCTCACAGAATGGCCAAATATTCATTAGTTTGGCGGAGGGTTCCTGTGACGAACGTTGAGTTCATTCCTCATTTTCTTTTCATTAACGTGGACACGTAGATAGAAAAAAAGTAAGAAAAGTAATACGAACTCATTCGCATGGAAAGATATATGTTTCCACTGAAACAGCCGAGTCCAAAATAATTTCGAAACTATTTAGGCGAAAGTTAATGAAATTTGCCTATCCATTTCCATAACACGTCATTTTGGTCAAACTTCCGTTACTATTAGAATCGATAGGTTGGATACATTGAACGTTGTTAAGAACACTTTTCACTTCTAAGTATTGCGTGTTTATAGCCCAAAATCCACGATTTGATGTGATGCAGCGCCGCTCGCAGAATCGCTCCCGTTCCACGCGGTGCAAAAACCCAAAACGCGCGATGTCGTCAACGTGTTAAAGAGACTATTTAGATGGTTGGAAATAAACAATTGGTAGGCAATTCTGCCATGTGGAGTTTGCACCACAGATGTGTGGCTCAGCTGGTTCACCTTGTGATAGGGTTGGAAATGAGATGGGGCTGTGAAATAGTGATTGGAAGGGTGGTGGTGGTAGCATATGTCGACTTCTCTTCGACTTTCCCCTTCACCTATGTAAGGAGAACCCCTTGAACCTTTTCCGGTCACGCCCCATCTAGTAGCGGCCTTCCCAGCATTTTCTTCCAAATTCGGTTAGATCATCACCATCGCTTAACCCATAACGGACGGCGGCGTTTTTGCGTGAGCGAGCCTGTGTGCCGGCCGGCTTTTTTTACCGTCTCTCGCGCGTGCGCCACCATGTGGCGCACGCCGGCACCCAGGGTAGTTTGTGCGAGCTTGTGCTAGTGACGCTGGAAACCATGTTTTTGTGGCCGAACTTTCTAAATTAGAAGGAATTTGAGCAGTTGACGTTCACATAGCCCTCTATTCTGTTACGACACTCCAGCGAGGTTTACTGAATAAAAAAAGCTGCTCTAGATTGGTTTCCGGACACCACGCATCGAGCAACTATTGGATAGGGAATCGACAATCACAGGTATGATCCTGGAAGGGGGCCCTTACAAAGCCTTTCAGCATATCGAGGAAGTTGGATATGCGAATCTTTATACGACAGCAGGCTATATCACCGAGAGAGCTCAGACGAGAGCAGAAGCAACGCAGCTTGGGTGCGAAAACTGAATTGATTCACTTCAAAAAACCGCGCAAGGAACGTTCTGCTAGTTATTACTTATTTTTATTTATTCTCATTTCTTCTCTTATTTGTGATTTCTCTGTATTTTGGTTCTTACGGGTATCATCACAGGGTTGCACGCAATTTCTAGTCATTTTTTCAGATATTTATTTTCTCCGGTTTCTTGTGTTTCTTTTTTATCTTCGCAGTCAGCAATGCTTTCTGTAACCGTTTTTATTTTCTAGCTAGTTTTCTTACTAGTTTTATGTGTTTTGCGCCTCTGGCTGTTCTTTCGAGTATCCTCACAGCAGGCTGCGCGCAATTTCTAGTCCTGTTCCCTTGGGATGGTGTCCGAGTCCGCGATCCGTCGCAGCTTTTGCTGATTTTTCGATTTGCTCGAAGTGCCCCTACTGTGAGGTGCCGTTGATCCTGTTGCGAATTCTGCTTGACAGTAAAGATTGAAATACGACTGTCCGTGATTCTGCCCTATAACATGAAAAACATGGGTGGGGAGGAAGGGGTTGATGGGGGCACTTCCATTTCCTGTGATCCGTTGCAGGCTTCGCGCGGATCGCAAAAATTGCAACTGCCCCAATTGAATACTTGAAACAACTGCCCCAATTGCACTTGAAACACTGAGTATGAAACAAGTAGAATCATGAGCAGTCGTCATTCAGTCACCACTATCAAGCACAAGTAACGGCGGGATCGGAGAACACCTTTCAGTGTTGATCAGGCACTCTGATTTCCGTGACCTGTCGCGTGAATCGTGAAAATCGCGCAAATCGTTCAAATCGCTCAAATAGGGCAAATCGCTAATGTACCAAAAACTGGCGTGTCCGACTGTTTTTGAAATACTCTTGTTATTGTTGTGAATGAAGTGTGGTGAATAATAGAAAGAAATTTCACATGAAGATGGTTTTGTTGGGGACGTTGTAAATTTGCAATCAGTAAAGCTATTCCGGTCCTGGAAACATATGTTTTTGTCCAACGTTGTAAGTGTACAATGGTATATCTCTATTATTTGAAATGCTGCAAAAAAGAAAAAGAAATCCTTTTAAAGGTCGTGCGCCACCATGTGGTGCACGCCGTCCGTTATGGGTTAATCTTTGTCTGTCTCCAACGACCGACTACAACCCTAATCTCCTTCGAAACTTTCCACCAAACTTCGCAAGAATCACGGCTGCGCAGCGTAACTGTATTTTATTCGGGACACATGCTTAGTTGGTATAGCGACATGCTTTCGCGCTTTCCCGGCCAAATTTGAGTGGGAACAGGAAACTCGTACAAAATAACCTTCCCGTATGTTAATTTCAAGACTAAAAAAGGATCAGTGATCCAGTGTTGAAGAACAGTACATTTAGATAGAGAGAGAAGCGCGCTTTCTAGCTATGCATAAATGTTGGCGGTTTCTTAGGACTAGATCATAAATAAAGCCTTCGAATATGAGTTAGTGAAAGCGGCGGAAACTTTCCGAACAACCCAATATGTATGTGTTCCCCAATTAGTTCGGATTAGCACAACACTTCATGATTTTATTAGGAGCTGCTTATACCAGAATCATTATTATCAAACAGCGCACTCTAACCGTGACTCTGAAGGAATTCCAAAACTGCAGCATCCTATAAGATCATCCATTCTCTTCCTGGTGGCGGTGGTACTGATAACTGTTGGTTAGACTGTAGTTTTGAACACATAGTAAGGAGAGATAGAGCTTGAAAGAATCCTTCACGGACCATGGACCAGTGGGCGGGACCGGAAGTGGTTTTGCGACGAAATGCATGGTAGGTACGGATCCACGTTCATGGAAAGGCTTGAAGTGGATCCTGTTCACGTTCGTGCGTTCGACACGTGGATCCGTACTTACCATGCATTTCGTCACAAAAACTTACGGTTCCGCCCACTGGTCCATGGTCCGTGGAAGATTCCTTTAACACGTTGGCGACGATGTGGGTCAATGCTGACCGACAGGCAGTCTGTCACATGGGACGATGTCGGTCAATGGTGACCGACTGCTTGAAACTAAGCAAACTTAGATGGAATCCGCGACTTTTCTATCTAAACTGGTGTACTTCGGTGTCCTAACTTACTACACTTGTCTGCGAATTATGATCTTTCTAATTCCTGGGAGTTTTATTCTGAACTAGTTATCAGTGGCAGAAACGCGCTGTCAATTGAATCACGACCACAAAGTTCCCACCGTCAGCGAACTGGAAATCTCACTAAAATTGTTCATATCGGCCTATACTAATTAGGTCACCGTCGGTAGAATGTCCATTTCTAGCCTCAGGTTCCATGATGGTCAAGTAGGCTCAGTCTTACTCATAGGCAGGACGAAAGTACCTATCCAGTCCATCAACTGCCAAATATTTCGCAAACTATTTTTTTTGACCTTGAAATGACTTGTTTAAATCTCTTATACGTTATTAAGAACAAGCTAAC